ACCGCAAAACAGCTGGAAAAGCTGCCATTTGACATGAGCAATGGCGTTATACCTAATAAAAGAAGAATAAATTAAATAAGATTCCTTAGTAGAAAAGTTTAGTAGTTGCATTCCCATTTACACGCAAAATGTTTCTTTACAGCCCTGGAATTGTGTGAAAAGAACTGTTCCCATATAATTGAATGTAAAAACCGTACCGGTGACGAAATGGTTTGCAAATGTGAAGCGGGATATACAGGTACACATTGTGACACCAACATAAACGACTGTACACCAGGCTCCTGTGTCCGTGGGAAATGCATAGATGGCATTAACTCGTACAGGTGCGAATGTCCCAAAGGATTTTGGGGAAGCCGTTGTGAACAGGCTATCAACGATGAAAAGGGTAAATAAGTTGTCCATTGTCATTTGTTTGATAGTTAATCGTAAATCCTTACACGTTTCAGTTAAAAACCTTTTATTGTCAAGTTTGGTTCTCTCTTCTTTATTTGTTTCAAACACATTGCATCTCGTCTGTTTCAAGTTTATCTGTTCTTATGTTTGTCATTCAACTTTACATGAGCTTGGCAATTCTCTTTTTCCTCAACAGAGTGCGAGCCGATGGATGAGCCCGTGAATGGATACAAACGGTGTGTGAGTTACTCGGGAAAGCAAGGATGTACACTGGGCTGTAAAAATGGAATGGCATTTTCCAGTAGCGCTGTTATCGAATACGAATGTGGACCTGATACAAGTTGGAAGTGGAACGGAGAAGTCATCAAGAGTCTTCCTAAATGCCTTCGTAAGTATCTAAATCTAGATTCTATATGCTCTGTTGTAGTCTGGAAATCTGTTGATGACCTAAATCTTTCCTGCTTTCACGTTAAGGCCAGACTAGACTAAGGACCAACATGTCTGGTCAACTAAAGCCTGGTTATAAAGTGTCAGCGTAGTGAGTTCGTAAATTAGCCTTATATCAATTTTTATTTCATAACTTAGAAAATTACTGCACTGTGATTGGCTCAGACCAGGCAAATTTATCATTTTTTAATTGTACTCGCATTCATATGATTACCTATATAAATTAAGCCTTATATCAATAAATTAATATCGTAGAATATCAGGACAGTACACTTGTGATTGGCCAATTGCAAATTTGAATATGGTGATAGGTATAAATTTAGATGTAAATGCTTAAAAAACCCTGAGGATTCAACAAGTGCAGGAGCATGATAATCCTCTCTGGGATTCAGCTTTTTTGTTTTGTTTTCAGAACCTTCTTCAGTAATGGGAATTTCTCATTCTGCACGATTACTATGATGAACTTCGGTTTTTACAATTGAGCAAATCTATGATTTAATATATACGCAGGCTCCCAGGTTAGAAAGGAAAGGAGTTGTCCGGCTAAAGAGTTCTCTTTTAGCAATTATTACTACTGTTCTATGCTTTGCAGCATCGTCCTCCCCGCGGGAAATGCGCCAACGTATATCTTTGCAGTTTCCATTAACGCAGACATGTAGAACGAAAGAGCAGTTCATGGAGATAGAAACATCCTTCCGTGAAGCATTCCTGCAAGCAATCAGACCAGTACCGGAATACGAATGCTTTGAGTCTGGCTTGTGCAGTATCGCAGATGTAAAGGTATCTGGTTGTGAAAGTTTTACTGGAGGTAGAAAGAAACGAGCGGTTGGCTCCGACTCCATTACAACGATAGAGTGTACAGTGATCTTCAGGACGTCTAAGAGAAATGGATCGGCACCAAATGCAGCTGAAAAGGCAGGCTCGGTGGCCTTTCAACTACAGTACGTAGTTTCCATGGGGCAGTTCACCATGAACATCAGTGAAAACGTGTTAGTAGCAAGGCAAGGATCGCTGCAGCATTTGTCTTCCGAGTTCACTTGTGGTTTGGGCTATTTTATTGACATTGGGAATAGCTCGTGTGGTAAGTGGAAAGTAAAATATTTTTGGATTCATCAAATCTCTGTTGATCCGTCCTGTTAGGACCTTCGGGACCTTCGGGGCTATGATTGGGGCTCTGATTGAGACAGCAAACCCGAAAACTTTTAAGCTAAAACAGCTCAAAGAATCATTGACACCCTAATGCTGCCCCATGCACCTCGTAGAAGCCTTAGCTCTGTACCAGCTCTTCATAGCAGTCCTGTAGGTTATGTTAGAAGTTTAACTAATAGTGCTTTCATCGGAGTTCAATCATGGCACCTTTATCCGTATGGATTTGACCTGGCCAAGTCTCCTATGTGAACGTTCTTTGGGCTTTGACGAGGAGCGTTAGTCTTAGAATCACCGTATTAAGTCATTTGAAATAGTACCAAAGGTTTTAAAATTTGAGAATTTCAGCTACAACAAAACATACAATGAAATGAAATAAAGGACGGGAGCAAGGGAGGACGTAGTAAAAGGGAGGAAGGAAGAAATGAAGAAAACAAGGGAGGGTGTAAGAAAAGGGGGAAGAAGCCGAAGGAAGGAAATAGTGACTGGTTTACCTTTACGTCATTTTTTTCTTTATTACATAGTTGGATGTCCCCCCGGGTTCTTCTTGGACACATCAACCAAACACTGTCGTGAGTGTGATATTGGTAGTTATCAGGACACAGAAGGTCAGGTCAGGTGCCAATCCTGCCCATCCGGATACACAACTAAAAGCAAGAACTCTGATAGTGTAGATGACTGCTATCGTGTTAAAGCGGTCGGCGACGAAGGTAAAAAAGGTTCTTTTTGTTTTTTATTTGTCTCATAAATACATGGACAATTGTTCCTCGATGCAATTCTTAGATATTGTAGTTTTGTATCCTTCAGCTATATATGTATGTGGAGAAAAGAAGATCTTATCCTGTTTAGCCTGTGGAAGGGTTGGAGCACGACGTTTCTGGGGTGATTTCAATATATTCCTACAAATTCAAGTAGTATTCAAGCTATAGCCTGCAAACTTTATGACTCTTGTTAAAAATTTTGCGTGTCAATTGATTGATCGCGTGTTTTGAAGTTTCCATGGCAACCATGGTTTTAAAGGGTATTTTACCAAGACTATAGATGGTTAGTTACAGCACTGATTCTAAGATATTTGATTTTTCTTGTTGTTGTTGTTTTTATTAATTTTAAGACGCATAGATTCCTCTAGATAATATAAGGCCGGTTCTTGATCTTTCAAACTTTATTCCTGTTATAACTATAATTGAAGTGAGTTTATTTTTCTTGCAGAAGAAACCTCCAAGAAAACCATGCAAATAATTATTGCGCTGTCTGTTGTTGGGGTTATATTAATCGTAGCCATTTTCGGCGTGTGCTACTGGTAAGTAATGATGTTTTTTTTTTTTCGCAGAGAACAGTTCAGCAAGTTCTACATGTTACAAAAAAGAAAAAACAGCACTTGCGGATCTAGGCTAGGCCCCTATATATCTTATAGTTGAAAACTATGTAATATGGCCCGGAAGGGCTGAAAGTTTTTCGTCTCCTCTACCCACCATGCGCTACTTACTTATAGATTACGCCCGATTTGCTGCCTTTATTATAATAGTAGGTTTAAAATGCCATTGCTGGGAAATTTATCGACGTATTTATTGACAGGTAGTTTTCTCCGTACGTTTACACTTCGAGCAAAACTGGCTTACTTATTGAGAAAGTGTTGTTATACCCTTACCAGTGGCGGATCCAGACCTTTAATTTATTTGTTCACTAAACAATATTTCACTGAGCGAGTGGGTGAAGTCCACGACTTTCAAGGCTTGTTTTTTACAAAGGCACAGGCGCAGGCATAGGCACAGGCAGGCACATGCACAGGCATAGGCAGGCACAGTCACAGATACATATGTAACAATAAAAGGTGACAATGGTCTATAGTTTGTGCATGGAGGTTAATAGAACCGCGAGGTTATCGAGTTAGCCTCCATCTCGTTTGAGTAAACATAAAAAATCATGGGAGTAGAAGGACGAATTACTAAAGGAAAGAGCTAGAAGAATTGTGCAAGCTTACGTTTGATATTGCTGAGATAGAACAGTTTTTTACACTTTTGGAGAAAGCAAATTGATTTAGATCTTTAAAATTGTATGGTATTTCTTGCCAAAGATCAATGGCCTTAAATGAGATCATTTGTTTGCCAGTATTTGTTTTTACTCGGAATTTGTGAAGATTTTGATTGGCCGCATACCTGGTACAGGCACAGACACAGGCACAGGCATTGGCATTGGCATAGAGAAAACCAGCCTTGGAAGCTATTTGCAGCTCTTAACGTTGGGTGTTAATTTTGTATGTTTCAGCGTAATGTCTCGTCAAAAGAAAGGCAAAACTGATGAACTTACAAGGCGACGAAGTCGTGTCAATAACATATATGTCGACTACCCTGGAAGCAATCAGGGATTTGTCAGCAGTAATTTGAAGCTGGAGAATATTGGTAAGCCAAGCCCGAACGTGGAGATGAACTAGTGAAATGAAGTTCTTCTTGACCATTCTACTGATGTGGTTTTGGAAGAACTAGCAGAAGCTCCTTATAGCGTTGCAGAGGTTACTCTGTCCTGCACTATTGCACTGTTGTAAATCAGTTAAATGTCGATATATTTTGCTGCTTGTACCAAAATACTAATTTTGTTGATTATTTTTTTCTATACACGTGCACTATCACACAATGGCCATGTCCTTCTATTAGAAGCGCCTGCAGGGAATCATGGTAGCTGTATTCATCAAAACAAATATCCAGTTCAAGTTGATGAAGACAACTACCATGATTCCATGCAGGCTTCTTTCTTAAAGGGAATTGGCCATAATGCATCAACTAAAAGTAATCATGCGTTTTGGAGGTTTAAACCATACTCAGGCGCGGCCTGGAGATACACAATTACAATTTGTAGCGTACTATGGTACGTTCTACCCCTACAAAACCTGTCAGCGATATACACTTGTAGGCAAGCAAAAAGAACTATAGGAAAAATGCATTTTTCAAGCAAGCAAAACTACATGTGGTAAGCAGTCTGTGAATTGTCTTTTCTGGCGAAATAAAGTTTTGGAAAGCAATCATTTTTGAGGCATGTGCAAGCCAAATCAACACATAAGGTAGAGGAAATTTGACGAGAGCTGCAACCTAATGCACAGTTTATGTAAATGAGTCAGGCTTGCAATCAAGAGCTGGGCGTGTACATGTTTCAATTAAGCACTTTGAGACTTATAGACACTCTCACAGTGCTCTCGCAGTTTAGTGCTGTTACGAGACTTTTCGTAGTTTCTTAGTTGAGTCGAGTCACCTCGATAAGTTTGCTTTTGCCTAGTCAAGTTTATTATGTAATGCAACATAAAATTTTACTTAGCAAACATATTGTTATGGCACTCAACTGTAACACTGTATTAAAAGGATGTAAAAACGTTGGAAAGGAAAGCTGTACTAAGTTCAATTAAATATCCAGTTGAAGCCAGTTAGCATCTTCCAGGGTCAATTTCTAACTGCTGCTTCGTAGAATAATTCTATACGTATAGCGTTTCAATTTGTTTTCATGCGGTCAATATTAGAACGTCGAGAGTTTTTAATTTCTCAAAGAAGGTGTTTTCTTATATTTTTGCATTCAGTGATTTATATACTTAATAGTGAGATTTAACGCAGCGCACGCTTGCACAAATTGTATTACACTGTCTTGAAGAATAAATTGTTGTTGGAGCTAACTTCAACTCTCAGTGTCTTCTTGACTTTTGTTAAAAGCCATTAGAATGTACGCCAAGTTTTGAGACACCCCGTCTTTTTTTGCCAACAATTGGTCGTTGTCTTCAAATTTCCCTCAACTATCCCTCCCCCTTCCCGTCGCCCCCCCAACACACACACACACACACAATGTTGATGTGCATCAGCCACACTCGGCCGGACATTCCCTCAGAGCTAGCTAATTGGCTGACATTTAGTCCCGGCATTTAGTGTGCCAAAAATGTTTGATCTGGATTGCTGATATCGAGAAACAATGAGGAGATTCTGCTACCGTAAGGGAAGTGGCATGTTCTAGTACTCAGTTCTCACCGTGCTTTTAGTGCATTTTCGATAACGGACAGTTTTTCAGATAAACCTAATCTACTGATTTAACAATTTAATCATGAGCTCGATTTCTAAAACCAATAGAACGTTTTTGTCGAGGAACTATTGGCTGATAGTTGCCCGAGGAAATTTGATGTTCTTAAAACAAATATTTGCTCGAGAAGAGAAGCTTCGAGCATAGGCCTACGAGCACGTTTGGCCTTGGAGGGGGCGGGGGGGGGCGGGGGCGGTGACCTTTTTGCTCGAAAAAAATACGCAATGCCGGAATGCGTGAGTGTTGAAATCGGGGTGCAAACGCACTCAAAATGCGCGAAAAACGAAAGCACTCAGAAAGATAGTTATATTAAAAGCTTGCATACTATCAACAGTCTCAATCTAGTAAATCTAAAACTTATTAAAAGAAAAAGTTCTTCCTTTTATGGCGTTCGTTAAGCGATCGGTAGATCAGCAACATAGACATAGGCCGTCTGGACGACCGTTACAGAAGCTTTCCTATTTTCGAGACGAGCGTCTCGACATACTCGCGACGTTCAAAGAACAACACGAGGCATTGCTAGAAGTCCTTCGAGATAGTATTGTTTTGGCTGCAGCAGACTTGCAGCTTACACTGCAAGCCTTCCATGAATTCAGAAGCCACGTAAACAAGATGGTAAACAACATGGAAGTACTAGAGAAACACTGACCTCCAAAGAAAAATTCAAGAAAAAAAATGAAAACACCCCATTGTTAAGACATTCCAAACGGCTCTTCTCAGAGCTTCCACAAAAACAAAAGTCTTGGTCAACGTTCGCTTTGATTGTGTCCTTGTTTTGTCGATGGAAAATTGGGAAAGGAAATAATACCCTTATCGTGGATTTCCACGATACACATTTAACCGACTTGTAGCCAACAGAAAACCCCCGGTCACTCAAGTCATTTCAGTCTAAGTCCAATTTATTGCAAGGCAAATGTCAGAGAAAGTAGCTTACAAGCCTTGAAACCTAAAAGAGAAGGCCGGAAAGGAAAGGACTGATTACCATGGTGTTTTCGGTGCGCAACGATACTTCAGATCAGTAGCAGATACGAATGGTACCCTTACCACGGTACTACTTTAGGTAGCAACTCTTTTTTAGTATATAAGAAACCACTTGACCGCCTACAGAGCCCCAGTCGGACGTCTAATAACACACAGAGAGATAAAAGGAAGGAACCTTTTTTACGAGTTTTGGAAATAACGCCAACAGCATTATTTTGTAATGTTTTCTCTCAAGAGTCGTTGCCCGAATCATGAGCGTTTTGCGCGAAAAATTACGTAATTTCCGTAGCTGGGGGAGCTGCAGGCCCCCTCGCCCTCCCCNGCTTCGAGGGCGAATATGCTAGTTTTAAGAACATCATGAAATTCGTGATAGAACGCTAGTAGATTTATACTAATGTAATATAGCGCTATACTCTCAGTAGTAGTAGAGAGTGCGCATTTGCGGCCTCTTAAAGTACTAGTCAAATACTAGTCGAGTGCTAGCCAAAATATAGCTCATGAATAAAATGCGCGGGAAACTTCTTAATTTATGTGGAACATGTCCGGGTAAGTAAGTAAGCTTCGATTGAAACACGAAGTTTATCAATATTTGCAACTAGAAACGACAGCAAAAAACGCCATAAACGCCACTTTTTAGTCGTGGATACGCGAAGCGTAGAAAGGACTATTGTTATGGGGCAAAATAAGCAAATGTTCACTCACTCAAATGTAAACTTTTAGCTGATAACATGGAGAGCCTGGGCACGAGTTTCTCGAAGACCTCCAAAATTGAGAGCGGCGATTTTGGTTCTTGTGTTTCGCTTTTGTAAATATGTAGTATTTTGCCTGGGGCTTTTGCTCACACGTAGATGAAAGCTGAGAGAGGTATTTATGACTGTGGTCATGTATCGGTCACAACAGCGCGGCCGGCGTGGTCAAAGAATTGTTACAACTGAAAGGCAGGAAGTGAGATCGTGTTTACTAAACGTGGTTCATAGCTTTTTTCTTGTATGGCTAGAGAATTTGATGGTTTTCCTCACGCTTTCTCTCCTTCTAAAGTCCAAGGTAAGCCTTAGGTGGCCTGTTTCTGTATTGTACTTTTTTTATGTACACATTGAAATTCTAGCGCTGCCCGTATCCTAAATGCGAAACCCGTGATTTGATTATTTTGTATTTTCAAATAAGCTTACTTCAAGCAAAAAATTCAAATTGCTTAATCTTTTAATTTTGTTGTTCTTCACACTATATTTTTTTCTGTGTTCTACACAGTTCGACCAGAGTGAACATTTCTTCATGAATGGTATAAAAGTCAGCGTCCACGCTCGAGTAAATATGCTGGCTAAAATTTTAGTGATGGATAGACAAATTAGCATCCAAGAGACTGTGTAGATCTTCTTTTTTGCGGGAGAGATTTACAGTCCAATCATGTCAAACACACTGGTGATGTATGTATATTCTTATTTTTGTTTTAGAAACGAGATTTGTAAACAAACTTCTGAAATCAAAACTTGAAATCATATTAATTATACCTGTCAACAATCGTTTTGAATATTTCTGCATTGCTAGTGAAATTAACACAAACAGTTGCCAAGATAGGGAAAAATAATGTGATTTCTATTTTCAAGAAAGAAAACTATTGCTATTTTTAGTGTACATTACTTTTTAATTTGTATTGCATCAAGCTGAGGGAACTCTAATGCAGTAAAAACCCACATACAAGTACACATGTTTTGGGGGGCTTCAGGCTGATTTTGTTCTTTTTTATCGGGCGTTTTCTGCAAAATCAACCTGAAAATGTTCTTAAGGTGTTCTTAAAATTGTTTCTAAAAATTAAATACTCCATATACTACCAACAGATGAAATCAATGTGCAAGCACAACATTTCAATTAATTAATGGATAGCACATAATTATATTGATCTACTTAGTACTGTACTTAGTACTATACTCTAGTAGGTTATTGTAATCTAGCTGGCAGCCAATTTGCATAAGAACAATTTTCATATTTCAGGCTGAATGTGTTCTTATGTATATGGTACTTTTTTGACCAAATTTCAGCCTGAGTGTTCTTAATCCACTTGTTCTTTTATGCGGGTTTTTACTGTAGTTGACTCAAGGTGCACTGCAGGACTTATGACAAAAAGGTAGGGATTTTAAACACTCATTGCTAATTTATACACGAAAAGAGAAGTAGTGAGTCTACTGTAGTTATGTGAAAGGGGTTTCAAGTTTAAAGCTACATGTATATGAAAGGGTAACCTTTTCTGGAAAAAACACGATACAAAAGGGTAAGTATACTGACCTTGGGGCAGAGCCTCCTTGTGTAAAACTTGGTAAGGTCCCTTTNAAAAAAAAAAAAAACACTATACAAAAGGGAAAGTATGTTGACGTTGGAGTAGAGCCTCCTTGTGTAAAACTTGGTTAGGTCCATTTTCCCTCCTCCTGGGCGTAGTCACATGGAGTTACATGGAGAAAATTTATATATGACTGTAAATGAAAACATCCCCTTCACTTTGGGTTCAAATTCAAAAACAAAATTGAACTTTTTTGGTACAAGATGTAGCAG